AGAATGAGAACTCACTCGCCCATTGCGGGCATCAACCTACTCACGCGGGGTCTGCCCCTAGGACCCAGACGCCTCCACCAGCCCCCACCTCCCAACATTGGGGCTCAAATTTCAATGTGAGTTCTGGCTGGGACAACTCATATCTGAACCATAGCAGGTGATAATGGTACTGTGGTTATGTCTGTTAAAAGCTGTGTTTTAGAGATGTTATGTTGAAGTCTTTAAAGTGGAATGATGTAATATCTGAGTTTTGCTTCAGTCCCGTGTGTGTGAGAGGGTGGAAGTGAGATGAAATCGGATTAGCCTGTTTTGATAATTGCTCAGATTGGGTGATGGGCATTTGGTGATTTATTATATTATTCTCTCCAGTTTTGTATAGGTGTGAAAATGTCTGTAATAAACGGTAAGATAAGGTGCAACAACAGGAAGCTCACCTGAGGCTCCTGCGCTTGGGGGACTCTGGGCTTCCTGTGCTCAAGGGTCTCTTTCTGGGTGGTTCTCCTCACCTCTGCACTCTGCCCTGTGAGGTTCTGGAGGGCAGGTTGTGCCCCTCCGGGATCCGAGAGAACCTATTTCTGCACACTCTAGGCTGCAGCTTACTTTGCCTGTCAAATTCCACACTTCAATTCGTTGTCTGTTTTCCAGAAGTCTTTTGAAATCTCTGATGGCATTTCTCCCATTCTCTTCATTGTTGTAGATTTATATATGCATATATTTTAATTTTACTATCATTTTAGAGGTCTCCGGAAGGAGAAGAGAAAATGTGTACCATCCATCTGCCATCTCTTTTTGGGAAATTCCATAAAGATATATTTAAACAACCGCATAAGATCTCACTGAACAATCCCAGAGTACTTATCGACTTCCTGGTTGGACATTTGGAGTCCATGACAACCAGCCTGTGCACTCAGGGGGAACACAGTGAGGGACAGGCAGGTCCCTGGGAAGACTGCCCAGCGCTCTGATTCATGGATTGCCATGCTGAGTTGGGGGCTAGTGGGTAGGGTTGTTTGCTCATCAAGCTGCGCCTCCTCGGGGAGTGGGTGTCCCGCCTGGCACATGCGTGTTGGGCAGGGCATCACTGTGACTACGGCCGCTGCCCGCTGCCTTGGTGGTGCTGGCTGGGCCTGCTCTGGCCTGTGTGGAGCCTTCACGCATGTCTGCCATCCACAGGATGGGTGTCAGCTGGCGTTTGGCAGGGACTCCCACCCCATAGCCTCAATTTTAACAGGGCCAGGAGACAGTTGTGTGTTTGCCGGAAGGTTCTTGGAGTAGGCGGAGTATTACAAACGGCCAAGTCAGCAGGAATTCAGGGTGTGCCCTGGGGCCTCAAACTCCTCCCCAGCCTCCTCTCCCTCAGTGTGAGCTGGTGGTCACCTCCCCGACCTGGATCGTACACCTGCCTGGGTGGCTTTAAGTGGCCAGTATTTAGGAATCACTGGGTTAAAAATTTGGAACAAGCCTGTAGTCCCGGCTACTGGGGAGGCCGAGGCAGGAAGATCGCTTGAGCACAGAAGTTGGAGGCCAGCCTGAGCATCACAGTGAGACCCTGTCTCTACAAAAAATTAACAAATTAGCTGGGTGTGCTGGCTCGTGCCCAGGGGTTCAAGGTTCCAGTGAGCTATGATTTCAACACTGCACTCCAGCCTGGGTGACAGAGTAAGACCCTATTAAAAAAAAAATTGGAACAAACAAGCAGTTTGCTTAAAAGGATGGTTTTTGAAAGTCTAGGCAAGAGATACAAAGTTACAGGACTGGTGCCACCCCAGCCCTGGCGTTACCCCAGGTGTTTGCATCTGGCAGAGCCTCTGGACCCCCAGAACATCTGTGCACCTGGAGGGGTGCACCCCAGAGCCACCATCTCAGCCTTGTCACAGGTGGACATGGCCAGGGTCTTGGGGCCATCAGAAGGTGTTGGTGGGGAGATGGCTGGGTTGACCCCAAATCCCTCCTGATCTCCTGGTCTGTGAAGCAGGATCGCAGAGCCCTGGCGGTGGCCCAAGCCTGGCGGGCCGGCCTTACCACTCCACCTGCTGTTGCCGGGTGGGGGTGCCTGCAACGTGGCTAAAGAAGCATGTGGAGACTTGCATTTAAAGGAGTTGAGATTGCCAAGTGCTTTTCTTTCTCAGTCCCCCAAATTAGGTCACTTTTTAAGGAAAGAGAATGCCATATCCCAGCCCGTTGCATCTCGGGAAAGCGTGTAGCAGAGTAGAACGCTGGGAACCTTGGGCACGAGGCGGCTGCAGGCACAACGTGTGTGTGTGTGTGTGTGTGTGTGTGTATGTGTGTAGGGGGGGCGGGTGCCGTGAAGGGAGGGTCCAGAGAACTGGAAGGAAACTGGGAGTGGGTGGGAGGGAGGATGAGAGAGGGGTCCCAGAGATCAGGCTGGGGTGGCTCACGTGCGTGGACGTGTCTGTGGGGCTTACACCTGCTCAGAGTCCAGGATCGAGGCGAGCGGCTGCGGCGGCTGGCGCCTCTCTGGTGGTCCGACGGGGAGGGTGCTCATCCCCCGAGGGCAGGGCAGGGCTCGTGGTTTGGTGATAAGCGCTGGACAGACCTGCATGACCCTGAGCAGGAACTTGTCCTCTAATTCACAGGGTGTAGGGGCTCTGGCCTCATCAGCAGCCCTGCTGTGGTTTTCCTAACCTGAGGGGCTTGAGGTGACAGAAATTTATCTTCTCACTGTTCTGGAGGCTGGAAGTCCAACATTCAGGTGTGGGCAGGGATGTGCTGTCTCTGGAGGCTCGGGGGCGGTGTGGGGGAGGGGAGGCTTCTTCCTGCCTCTTCCAGCTCCTGGTGGCTCCGGGAGTCCCTTGGCTTGTGGCTGCATCCCTCCAGGCTCTGCCTGCCTTCACATGGCTTCTACCCTGTGTCTGTGTCTCCCGTCTCTTATAAGGAAGCTAGTTGGATTTAGGGTCCTCCTATTTCCAGACAATCTCATCTCAAGATCCTTAATTTAATTACATCTGCAAAGACCCTTCCTCTGGATGAGATGCCATTCACAGGCTCTGGGGTTAGGAAAAGGACTTATTTGGGGCAGCACCATCCAATCCCCGCACCTGGCTCGGGGTCACAGCCGCCCGAGGCTTAGTCCTACGTGGGGAGTTGCTGAGAGGAGGGGCTCTGCAGCTGGGCTGGGCGTGTAGCTCACTTGTCCACTAAACATGGGGCTGGGCATCGCCTGGGGCAGTCTCTGGGGTGCGGCAGGGGACATGGACAGCAATAGGAGTGACAAAGAAGTAGGCTGTGTGGTTTGTTGGAAGGTGTACAGCACTGAGGAGAAAAACAGGATGGGGGAAGGGCTGAGGGTGCCTGGGCAGGTGTGTGAGTGTCTTGCAGCTGCCATTAGAAGTCGCCCTAAACCGGGGGACCTAAAGCAGCAGGACTCGTTCTCTCATGGTTCTGGAGGCCTGAAGTCTGAGGCCACATCGTTTTACTTAAAATCCCAGTTTCCAAGAACCTGTCAAAGTTAAGTGAGGACTTACTGTATTAGCTTTATTTTCCTTGTTTTTTTTTTTTTTTAAAGGTAAGACATAGGCTTTTATGAGAAAAAGTAAAATGTCAATAACGGTGCCTAGAGCATGACCCGCAGCTACTATTTGTAGAATGAATACATGAATGAGTGAACAAGTGTTAATTTGTTTTGCAGAGAGGTGGCTCTCTTGATTTTCTTTGTTCTCCAGATGCTCTGTGGGAAAATGCCCCCCTATTTGAATTGCAGAGTCCCCTCTGGGGCCTTTAAAAAATATCTTCTTTGTGTTTAGGAGAGCAAATCCCTAGGGAGAGCATGACCTAGAAGTCATTTACACTGTAGTGTGAATTAGGTTGCCTTCTGGTTCCCCCAGGATTCTGGGAGGCTTGAAATAAGAATACTGTTTGGTGGAGCGGGAGGGGGATGCTTTGGAAGGTGGGGACGCAGCCTAGAAGGCTAGGTCAGTGGGAATCAAAGCGTTTGAGTTTTTGAGGCCCTGTGTCCTTTGAAGGAAAGAGAAGCGTGGGAGGAGGCGGGCGGAGGGGTGGAGACTAAGGACACCCTGTTCTCGCCTGGTGTTTCTGCCAGGGTGACTTCTGGGTAAAACCGAGGGTGACTGTCGCATGAATTGATTCAGGAGACGACAGGTGTCCAAGCAGCGTCCTATGGGGGCGGCCCCTCGCGGCTGGGTGGTCAGAGGCCTTGCCCTAAGCGCATAGGGGGATGGAAGCATCCCCACCCCACTGTGTCTCTCCTTCTAGTAACCCAGGGGTGGCGAGGTTGCTTCTGGGGGCACAGGAGAGTGGAGGGCTAGTGGGGCAGGGCAGGGAGACTCACTTCTCACCTACACCCATTGGTGCTTTTGGAATTTTATACCTGTTTCATGTGTAAATGATTTTCAAAAACCAATTAAATAATGAAAAAAGAGGGAAGAAAGCAAGAGCTTTGTTTCCCTGTCATGCACCCACCAGATAGTTCCTGACTGTCCACCATGAGCTGGGCACTGGCTACAGGGTCAGCAGGGGCTCCCCATGGGGTGAACGGGCTAGTGGGGCTCAGAGGCTTGATGGTGGCTCCAGACCCCTTGGAGTTGAGACCAGGCCCCGGGACCCAGAGGTGCAGCTCAGCATGTGAATGAACAGACGGCAGTGAGAGTACTGTGGCCAGCAGGGCTGTCCAGCTGCGGGGAGGTGGACTTGGAGATGCCCTTGAAGAAGGGGCCAGAACCTGGCCTGGGGCGGGCCTGAGTGCCTGGACCCCAGGGGTAGGGTGGGAGGCGGGGCTGACCATGGGGTTCCCGGGCCGGGGGGAAGGTCTTTGAGTCCAGGAGTGTCAGAGGGAAGCCATGGAAGGTGCTTGAGGGAGGGAGGGGCTCGGGCAGGGTGATGGTATAAGGTACTTGGGCTCCTCACCTTGTCCAGGAAAGCCCTGGAGACCTCACTTCCCAGCCACTGTGCCTGGGGTGGGTGGGGAGCTGCCCTGACGGCCACTTTCTTACTTTCCTTCCCTGTTTTATTCTCCTGCACAGGAAGAAAACAGACAGATTTTGGCCCGGCAGAAGTCAAACTCGCAGTCCGACTCCCACGATGAGGAAGTTTCACCCGCCCCTCCGAACCCCGTGGTGAAGGCCCGCCGCCGGCGTGGCGGCGTGAGTGCCGAGGTATACACGGAGGAGGACGCGGTCTCCTACGTCAGGAAGGTGAGGCCTGAGACCACCGCCTGGCCCTCTGTGCGTGGCTGTCACCCACGAGAGACTGGACTCGTCATCGTCTTTGCTACACGAGCTGAGCACGTATTTGTGAGAGGGGCTTTGAGGGGGTCTCTGCCATCCCACAGCCGCCGTAGAGTTCTAACAGGCTCAGGAGGCCGAAGGGACTCTCCGGGGGTGTGGGATGTCGGGCGGGAGCTGTGTGGCTCCTGTTCTCCTGCAACTCTCTGGCCTCTTCCCATGAAGGTATTTGTCCCAGGAGACCAGGGCCCCACCCTCATGACCTCATCTAAACCAGGCCCCTCTGCGAGGCCCACCTCTAAGTACCGCCACGTTGGTGGCTGGGCTTCCACACGTGGGTTTGGGGGAACACAGTTCGGTCCGTAGTATGGTCTTAGCCACTTCGTGTGTGCAGTTCCGTGGGGTGAAGCACGTTCACATTTTGCTTAAAATGTGCCGCCATCACCACCATCCATCCACGGACTTCCCACCTTGCAGACCCGAAGCTGCACACCGGGAAGCAGGCTCTCCGTTCCTTCCTCTGGTATTTGGTACTTTTATAATCAGACTAGCGAAACCCGTTGGAGCACTTCTGCGGTCTTCCTCCCAAACGCAGACCCCAGCCTGACCACGAGGAGAACCTCAGACAAACCCGGGGAGGGACAGCGTGTGGAGTCCCCGACCAGCACTCCCCGCAGCAGCCAAGGCCGCCACACACGAGGGACGGTGTGTGACTGTCAGACCAGCAGGGACAAGGGAGACGTGCTGACTGGTACCCGGATGGGACCCTGGGGCAGAGAAAGACCATTTGGGTCAAGCTAAGGAAATGGCAATGATGTGTGGGTTCTGATACCAGCCACGTGTCGGCCTCGGCCCCTCCGTGGTGACGAAAGCAGAGAGATGTAGGACGTTCACACGAGGGAGCCTGCAGGGTGATTGGTACTGTCTTTGCAACTTCTCTGTAAATAGAAGCAAAACGCTTATTTTATAAAAATCTGTTAGAACTAGAGCAGACCCCGTGCGGTCCCTCAAAAGGACATCTCCACAAAGGGACCTCTGGCCTGGAACGCATGGCATGTGCCTGGAGCGCTGCGGTCGCCGCCCGCTGGACACGGGCTCCCTGGGCTACCTGAGCTCCACGGGGGTCACGCTGTGGCCCAAATACCCTCCCTCTGTGTCTTCGTTTTCAGGGAGGAGTCCTGGCGTCTGTGATGCTCCTCATTCGAGGTGCCAGTGCTTCTCATTCACTCAGCGATTCGACACATTGGTCCAAAGCTCCCACAGGGCAGGTCCTGAACCGTCGCGTTGAGAGAGGTGTGGGACGGCGTGTTGCATCCTGCTTATGCTCCTGGTCGTGGCGGCCCAAGCCCCTACCCAGGCCCGACCCCGTCTCTCCTCTCCCCACCCTGAATGGGTGAACATTGCCCTGAGTGTAGCCCTAGACATGGTCAAGTTGTTTAGTGCATATGTGGTTTTCAAATTTTTAAACTAATGTTTTTTACCTTAAAAAAAAGCCAGCAAAATAAATCATGAAAGACAGTCATCCAAGGCACTGCACGTCTTCTGGGCTCTTCTAGGAGGCTCCGAAGCCCGGCAGAGCCAGTCAACACAGACCCCAAATTCTAGGTGGTACCTAAATTCCCCTTTGGGCCACTCCAGGTCCCTCACCTTTTATTTATTTAAAAAAAAATTGTGGTGAATGGAATAATTTCAGCTTTAAAGAAGAAGGAAGTCCTGTCATTTTTGACAATGTGGACGAACCTGCAGGACACTGTGCTCAGGGAAACACGCCAGACACAGAAAGACAGACACCGCGTGATCGCACTTGTAGAATCTGGAAACGTTGAACTCACAGAAACAGAGAGTGGAACGGTGTCTGCCAGGGAATGAGAGATGCTCATCACAGGGCACAAGCATCAGAGACAGGAGCACTAAGTTTTGAGACCTGTTGCATGGCAGGGTCTATGCAGTCAATAACGATGCACTGTGTACCACTGTGCAGCGTATGGGGACACGGACTGGCTGTGCCATAGCGGTCCTATGAGGTTATAATATGGTGTTTTCACTGTACCTCTTTATGCTTATATTTGTGTAGATGCATAAATACTCACCTAGTATTACAGCTGCTCATGGCATCCAGCACAGTAACAAGCTGCACAGGCGTGTAGCCTGGGAGCAGTGGGCTAGACCACACGGCCTGGCCATGCAGTGGGCTAGACCACACGGCCCGGGAGTGCAGTGGGCTATGCCATCTAGGTTCGTGTAAGTCACTCTATGATGTTTGCACAACAATGAAATCGCTTAACAATGCATTTCTCAGGACATAACCCTGTCTTTAAGCGACGCATGATTGTATTTCAGAATAATGAAGATAGTAAATTTCAAATGTCTCACTGTAAAATGATAGGTAAGTGAGGTAACAGATATGTTAATTAGCTTGATTTAATCATGCCCCATCATATACATGTAGCAAAACATCACATTGTACCTCATGAATGTATGCGATTATGATTTGTCAATTAAAAATAATATTAATGTAAAAATTGGGGTGACCACATGCAACATAAACCTTCCAGTTGTGTTTCGACCATTCCCTGGTAACAGCACCAGGTTGAGGCTGGAGGCTGAATAGTCTGATTTCAGGCCATGTCACAGCGTTTCAGGGTCAGGCAGGTGCCTGGGAATGTGGGCTGTGGTGCTGGCCCCGCTCTGTGCCCTCCGGCGTGCTCCCGGCCTGACCTTCATGCTTTCCCTGCAGGTGATTCCCAAGGACTACAAGACCATGACTGCACTGGCCAAAGCCATCTCCAAGAACGTGCTCTTCGCTCACCTCGACGACAACGAGAGAAGGTAGCTGCCCGGGCTGAGGGAGGCTTTGCGGGTTCACTGAGTCATGGGCCATGAATCATGGGGATGCCCACGGGAGATGCGTGTCACAGCTTTGTGGAAACGTGGCTCACAGAGCAGGGGCGGCTTCCAGAAATACTGTGCTGTGTGCAACTGATCCTGCTCCAGGGAGGCGTCCCCTGCTAAACCTCCTAGACAGACTCGTGGGTCTGACCGCCGTGGGCTTGGTGTTCCAGCATCTTCCCACACGCGGGGACTTGCCCGCTCTCACTGAGTGCGGCAGACAGGGCTCAGACGCACAATCCCCCCTGCTCCTGTTTGTGCCGGGGGCGTGGAGCCTGCTTCAAAGGGGGTGGGCACCATGGTCTGAAGGGTCTCAGCGAGCGGACGGACAGAGCCCAGGGTGATTCCAGGGAGAGGGCCTGGGGCTTGTGAAGGGCTTGAATGCCTTTTGTGGGAATGTTGGTCATATACGTAATTGGAAAAATTAGAAAATTTTGATAAGACAAAAATAAAAAATGTCCCCTGTCATCTGATTCCTAGAAATAACTCTTGGGAATGTTTTGGGGCCGTCCATAGGGATGGACTTTTGCGCATGTTCTAACTCTGTATCGTCACAGAGTGGGGTCTCAGTCCACCTGCTGTTCTGTCACACTCAGGGTGTGCTGAGCGTCTGTCTTTGTCAGCACAGATGTGTCGTGGCTGTCGTGTCGGTTTCTGCAGAGTTGCTGTGATCTGGCTGCTTCTGTGCTAGGGCTGTGCGTTCTGTGTCCCAAACAGTTCTTGGCTGTCCTTGCACGCTCACCTTTGAGAACTCGTCCATTTCTTTCTCTAAGATAAATTCCTTGGTGTGGATCAAAGGGTGTATAATGTTTACAAAGTTTTTTTAGCAAATTATAACTCTCCATTAAATTAACTAAGCACATTTTGATTCCAGTCCTACACAAAATTCAAAGACCTACAAATATACAAAACAGGAGGAGAGAGTCTCTTTATCTGGCTGCACAGGCTACTGCGGGCAGGATCTGGGGGACGCACCCCGGCGGGGCACACAAATGTGCTGTCGTGTGTCACGCTGCGTCCCCAACAGTGAGTCCCAAAAGTCCTTCCATAGGAGCAGAAATCTCATTGGTACACGGTGTTCTGTCGTGAGGATGAATCAGAGTTTGATAACCTCTCTGCCTGCCAGGGTCACGTAGGAGGTTTCTAATTTCTCACGTTACAATGTTTCCACGAGTAGTAAAGCTCGAGTTTCGGAGTGGTTCCCAGCAGTAGCGCTGGTGCTGGTGCGCACGTCCAGTACGTCTCTGGGCTCTCGCCCAGGAAGGCTGGCGGGGGCAGCCCAGAGGCATCGCGTGTGGTAGCCTTGGTTCCTGACCACTCACGTCTGCGTAGAAAATCCCCACTTCGCCCAGAGCGTGCAGCCAATTCAGGCCGGACTCTGGGTCCAGGGTGCCCAGTGAGCACGTGCTGCTCCCCTGGTGGAGCAGCTGCTGGAGTAGCTGGGCGTGGCTGGAGCAGCTGTGAGCCCGGCTGCGCTTGAGCACCCCTGCTGCATCTGTGGCTGCCAGGACCCCAGGCTGGCGTGGCCCATGAGACGCTCACCCTGTAGAGGCACTTGGGTGGGACCGAGGCGCGTGGGGTTCTGTCTGGGCCAGCCGGCAGCCCACGCTCCCAGCTTCCCTCTCGCACCCACACATGCTGAAGAATACGTGTGTGCTGCGTGTGCTGTGTGTGTGTGGCCTTTCTCATACTGAGCCTGCTCTCCCTTTCAGCTGGGTGACTTTCCCCATGCCCTGAAGACACTGGGTATTATTATTTTATTTTACATTCAAGGAAAAATGGTGTCATTTCTCTGATTACTTGTAAGGCTTTTCATAAGTTTCTCAGCAAGGCAGCAGCCTGAAATACTCTGCCCAGGGAGAAGGATTTGGGCTCAGAATTAAAATATACTTTTCAGCCAGGTCCACCCAAAATGGGAGGGCAGTGGTTAGCGCCATCCTGGAAGGTGTCCAGGCGCGAGCACAGGGTGGTAGGCCCCCCAAAGATGCCCACAACCTAATCCTGGGGACCTGGACATGTCACCTTGTCACCATGGACATGTCCTCGCCCTGGACATGTCACCTGGACATGTCACAAAAGGACTTTGCAGATGTGATTAGGGTGAGGATCTTGAAGCAGGCAGGTGACCTTGGATTTCCGAGGATGGCTCTAAATGCCATCACGTGTCTCCTTCTAAGGGGGAGGCAGAAGGAAGTTTGAATAGACAGAAGAGGAAGAGGCCGTGTGACCACAAAGGCAGAGGCTAGAGTGACGAGGCCACGGGCCAAGGAACCCGGCAGCCACTGGAAGGCAGAAGAGACGGGCAGTGACCCTCCCCTAGAGCCTCCGGGGAGCACAGTCCTGCCCACGCCCCGACTTACACCTGCTAATGCTGATTCTGGACTTCTGGCTCCGGAACTGTCGAGAGAATAAGCTGCTATTGCTTTAAGCTCTGCTGTGCTCGGTCACAGCAGCCCTGGGATAGCAGACATCCACCTGGTGTCCCTGCAGAGAGGCACTGCTTGGTCACCAGGTGGAACCAGGTGACTGGAGAGTTGTGTCCAGTTTAACTTGAACTTAAACATCAATTTGCAATGTAATCGAATGGGTGGTGCATTCACATGGTGCATTCACAGGGGGCCAGAGTGAAAGAGCTGTCTACAGTCACCTCCGGACCCCTGCTTCTCTGGGCTGGGCCTCCCTGGGCACCTCCACAGCCCCCTTCTGCAGACAGACCTTCCCTGCCTGCAGGCAGGGGCCACACCGACCAGCCACCCATTCTTAATGCAGTTTCAAGTCCTCAGGGAAGGGCAGTGACTGACTGGGCCTGGGTCCAGGTGGTCCCAGCCAACTCACTCTTGTGCCAACTAGAAGGACAAAGCGCCGTGGTGTGTGGCTGGATTTCAGCTGTGCCCAACCTGCATGACTCCAGGTGTCGGGTCCCGCCCCATCATCTATGCTGGGAGGTAGCCACAGACCAAGGCACCCTGGATATGGGGGAGTTCCTGTGTGCTGCTGGCTGTGACCCCACAAGTCAGCTACTCTGCCTGGGAGACTGATTTCTGTGCTCTGGGCCTCAGTTTCCCTGTCTGCCCCAGCAGGAGGCTGGCCTGTGCTCAGCCCCTCCAGGAGGACTGCAGACCTGGGACTCTGGTGCAGGGGACACATTATTATTTTTATTTATAGCAACAGTAATGATGATCTAAAGTTAACTTCTTCTTCTTGCTCAGATAGTCCCATGTGCAAGAATAGTGCAGTGGGTTGAGCACAGCTTAGTGCCTGAATTCAAATGCAACTCAACAGAATTCAAGACAACAAATATTAATGGACCATTGGCTGTGCCGGGTTCCTGCCCGTGTGTGTCCGGCTTTCTAGGGGAGAAGCCAGCCACCCCCAAGTAAACACATAAATATTTAGAGAGTGTGCCATGGAGGAAATCAAGAGAGGCCCATATGTCATAAAATGGGATGACTTTGCTCAGGGTGGGCAGAAAGGTGACATTTTGGGTGAGACTAAAGATGGCAGCAGCAAGGCCCTTCCAGGCCAGAGCGCGGCGGGTCAGAGGCCCTGTGCAGGAGAGGGTTTGGTGAACTCCTGGCAGCAACGGCTTCATTCACTTCAGCAAGGACCGTGTGCACCTGCTGTGTGCGGGGCACTGGGATTACAGGGGACAAAACTTTGCTTAGAGTGGGGCCAGAGAACTGGAAATCTCAGAATTATTCTGGGATTCAAACACCTGTCTTCAAATTGCCAAGGGTTCTGGTTCGTCTTTGTTATTTTAATTTTTATTTTCTTAAAAAAATTTTTTTTCATTATTGGAGTAGCTGAAGATCTGGTGCCTCTTTGGATCTCTCTGTGTGGTTTCCCTTGAAGCAACCACAGTGGGAGGCAAAGCCTGGGACCCAGGAGTGTCCCGAGGTTTTCCCGCTGGAGGCTCTCCTCACATGAGCTTCACCCACGACCCCGCCCACTGGACGTCCGGCTCCGTTCTGCCGTTTGATAGGCCTGGGGTCGCTGAGAGTGCGGCGTCAGGGCACCCCCGGTTGCGGGGGAGGATGTGCTGCAGCAACAGCAGCTCTGGCGTCCGGTGGCTCCTGCCGAGCCCTGCCCCAGCGTCCCTTGCAGCACACAGGGTGCTGCAGCAGCTTGGAGGCTCAGGCCACCCGGCCTGTGGGCGTGGCCGTCTCAGCACGGGGCCTCCATGTTCACGGAGGCTGGGGCCAGGCTGGGGCTGGTCACTGCCCCAGCCCAGAAATGTCGCGTGTCACACGAGCTTTGGCTGGGACTGGTCGCCTGGCCTGCCCAGGTTGCAAGGACACTGACAGGACTTGTTTCCTGTGCACTGTAGGAAGATTGTGAAATGGGATTTGTGAACTGCAGGCACTGTCTCGTTCCCAGCATCTCTCGTCCCTCCCTGAGTGCCACATTGCCTACAAACCCCTGGAGAGTGATCTGCGGCCCTGCCTCGACAGCCTCTCTCTGTTTCCATTGCGGCAGATACATATCACATAGAACTCGCCATTTTAACCATTTTAAGTGTGCAATTCAGCTGCATTTATTATATTCACAATGTTGCGTGACGATTACCATTATCTATTTCCAAAATTTTTCATCACCCCAAACAGAAACCCCGTACCTATTAAGCAGTCACTCCCCAGTCCCCTGAGGAGCCCCTGAGAACCCCCAACCTGCTTTCTGTGTCTGTGGGTTTGCCTATTGTAGGCATTTCATGTAAGTGGAATCACACAGCGTATGACCTTTTGTGATGGGCCTCTTTCACCGAGCGTGCTCTTGAGGCTCATCCATGTTATAGTGTGTGTCAGCGCTTCGCTCCTTTTTTAAGCCTGAGTAATATTCCACACACAGTTACACTCCATTTGTGGGTCCACCATCTGTCAATGGACACATGGGCTGTTCCCACCTTGCAGTTGCTATGCACAGGGGTGTACAAACGTCCTGTC